TACTATGTTCCTAAATCTGTATATATGAAATACGTGAAACATGCATAACTTAAATAACATTTTAACAACAGAAAACTGTAGTGATGGTAGATGTGCTATCTCTCTCTTCCCAACACAGTTCAAGTATATACACAGCAAAGAAGGATATAATTGGAATGGGCATTTAGTCTGGCAGTTAAAACAGTCATGATCCACAATGCAGTGCTTAGATTTGATTCTGGCCCTGGGACCTGACTGTAATTTCTCAAACTTTCCAACAATGCAGACCTTAGGAAGCAGTGGTGATGACTCAAGCAGTTAGGTTCCTGCATCTTATCTGGGAGACCTGGACTGTGTTGCCAGCTCCTGGCTACACCCTGGTTCACCCCCAAACATCACCACTTGTGGGCATTTCAGGGAGCAAACCAGTGGTATTTTCTCTGTGTCAAATAAATTTAAAAACTTTAAAAAGGATATAGAAGATCTAAATAAAATTAATTAGCAGGCCCATAAACACATCATTGGAACCAGTCTGTGTTACGGTGTTATGTTTGAGATGTCACTAATAGACATACCAAAATGTAACACTGAAGGATCTCACTTGTTAGGCAAAACTATGTGGATTTTAAATGGTATAGAAGAATTCACTGACCAATAAGTTGTATTTTAGCAAGTTCTCCAGGCAATCTGTATGCATGTGTATCTCATTTTGGGCTAAAAACAGAAACAGCAACAATCATAACAGAAAATCCAGCAAAGACAGAAGGAACACTCTCTACCCAAACCCTTGCCATTCAAGTCCTTTATTTCAGGTCTGGGGACAACTATTGCCAAGCAATTTTTAAACTTCAAGATAAACAAGGCCTACCTTTTAGCCACACTGTTCAGTCACCTGAACAGATTTTTCAGACATCTAAACTTTTAACAACAAAACATTCTAATTTAAAAGCCAATGTTTCAATGTTTTCCCAACAGCAAAGTTATTAGATACCCAAACTGTCTCAAAGATTTATGACTTCAATTTTACAGCCTACATATACTACACTGGACTTCCCAGAAGACACCAGATTAAGGAGACAGAGGGCAGCTGGAGTACCAAAGAGGATGTCAAGTCATATTCCTGGACATGATTTAGGGTACTCTTCCTACCTGTTCAATAGAATCACACACAGCAACATACTATTTGAAAACTAATAAATTAATAGAAAGTAAATGAACTAAAGCCAACATATAAAACTAAGGAATGGAAGTTAAAGCAATACATAAATAGAGTTTTTCAAATCTTGACCTAAGCACCAATAACTGATATTTTAATCAACAGGCCCATTGTCATTATAGAGATTTTCTTTCCTTAATCATATAAATCCATATATAATGAACATAGGATATGAAATTAATGAGGAAACAAGTTTGGTAAGTGATTCTATTAATGTGAATTTTACAGTGAATGAAGAAACGCAATCTGGACCAGTGGAATTAGAGTAGTTCCTCCGGTCATTTGGAAACACATTTAATCATTCAACCAGTAATTCACTTATCTTACAAATATGCAATGAATACTCATTGTTTTGATTATTCAGCAAGCAATTTCTCTTCATGAAAGTATTTGCATTTATTTGGAGGAATTATTTTGTTCATATTAATTACACATGATGCTATAGGATAAAAATCAGGAAACCAGTAATCCCTGGCTGTGGGGTGGGAATAAGGCCCATGTCTTGTCAATAGAATGCCCTCTGCCTGAAATTTAAATCTTAGGGAGAGGTACAGTCAGCTTGATGTGATTATAATCCATTCTAAGAGTGGTGTTCTCATGGAATTGTTCCTACCTAGAATTTTTTCTATAGTTCTAGTTACAGAAGCTTGGGAGAAGGGAAAACAGGAAACTTTGGTCAAAAGATAAAGTTTCAATTATGCAAGAGCAATAAATCCTAGAGATTTACCAACAGCATAGTGATTATACTTAATGGCATTGTATTACTTAGAAATGGTTAAAAGGTAGATCTTATATTAAGTATTTTCATCACAACATAAAATTAATAATAACAGATAAAGAATGGAGATGCAAACTTGCATCTTTATAAATTAGATGGCGGTGGTAGTTTCATGGGTGTATACTTATCTTCAAACTCATCAAATTGTATGTAAAATTTAAACATGAATAGTCTTTCAAATGTCAATCATATTTCAATAAGGTGTATTTTTTAAATGACTCATGTAAGGATTAGAAGATGAGACCAGCTGCTAAGACCCCCCTATAAAATGAACACTGTCAGCTAGGATTTCAGTACTTATAGTAAGGAAAACTGGTATGATAAAACTGAGCAAGTGTATCTTCTTAAAGAAAAATTATCCTCGCTGATCTCCTTAATATGTTACCTTTGTTTCTATGTCAGAATCCCCTCCTGATATTACAGAAATTCTAGCTATCAGACTCCCACAAAAGCATTTGGCTGATACTACCATCCTACTTATCTCTGGACCCCAGAGCTGACTTAGAATATAAAGAAAGATACTTGCACATAAAGGCTATTTCTAAATTGACCACTGTGTAAAAAAGAGCCTATTTGGGGGAAATATGGGAAATGAGATTCTTCACACACACTATTATCATCATAAATGTTAAAAACAAAGCACACAAAAGATCCTATCTAAAGTAAATAATGCTAAAGCAAATAAATATCTAATAATGCTAAAGTAAATAATATCTAAACACAAAGAATAAAATAATGTTAATTTGAAAGACAAAAACAAAAAAATTGTGATATTAAAGACTTATAAATGCCTCATGGAAAATTTTCTAAAGCCCTCAAATTAGAAATAACATATGAAAAAAAAGAAAAAAAAAAAAGAAAAAAGGAAATAACATGAATAACATGAAATGAGTACATGTCAAAGTAGTATTTAAGATCCTAAAATTTTTTAGATCTACATCAGTAGGTACTCACTTTATTCACTATGTTTTTTCTAACTTGCATATCTTATATATAGTATTTAGGCTGACCTACATGAAATTGCCAATATATGACCATTTTTAACCTACAAAAATGTAGACGCAAAATTGCAATTTTGTACAAGTCAACCTAGTAGCACATACAATATAATATTGTTTTCTATATTTTTTGTTTTTATATTATATTGTTTTACAATGTAATAGTTTATATATTTATAAAATGAAGTCAAATAATCCAACTTTAAAGTATTTTCATAAAATAAAAATTACATATATATAAAAACACATAAAGTATAAAAACATATAGCTGCAACAGAAGAGCAACTTTTTAACATTCTGCCTAAGTTGCAAATTCCAATCACCATATTCAGTGAAGCTAATAATCCTCTGTGCTCAATACTTCCTAGATTGCTGATGCCATAAACAAGAGTGTCAATTTGTTAAGTCAACAACAGGAGTCACTATGCGCTTGCTCCTCATGTGGGATCTCTGTCCTTAGTGTGCTGTACATTGTGATTTAATGCTATGACTAGTACTCAAACAGTATTTTTACTTTGTGTTTCTGTGTGGGTGCAAACTGTTGAAATCTTTACTTAATATATGCTAAACTAATCTTCTGTATATAAAGACAATTGAAAATGAATCTTGATGTGAATGGAAGCGGGGAGGGAGAGGGAAAGGAGAGGGTTGTGGGTGGGAGGGAAGTTATGGGCGTGGAGGCCATTGTAATCCACAAGCTGCACTTTGGAAATTTATATTCATTAAATAAAAGTAAAAAAAAAAAAAATTCCTAGAAAGTGACTCATGATAAATACTGAGAATTCATACAGCCAACTGAGGATACTACAAAACTTTCTATAAAATAGCATATGGTGGCAAATCATTAACTATTATCACCATATACAAGAATAATTTCACCAGTTCAAATGGACTGATATCTGAAACTTGAGAGGGTTAATTTATTACATGCAACTTTATTTTTACAAAGAGAAGCCTATTATCAAGTTCTTTCTGTGTTGAAATGGATCTGAGGTTGAGCTTATGAGGGAGAGGGCAAACAGACTGAGATGGCATAAAGAAATTATACTTGGTGGCATGGTCATCCCCTCCTAGTTTCCTCATCCTCTTTTTTTCACATTTTCCAGCTTTCATTGAGAGCAACTGAGTCTTTGCCCAGTCTTCCACTGTACAGTAATACAATGAACTTTAAAAACAAAATTGAATGCTTTCTTGGAAATATGAGGAACTGGCAGCATGAGAAAAACTGTTCAGGGGAGTCTGTGTCTTTGGAGACTTCCCACTTGCCATTATCAGATTGATAAAATTGGCATTTTTGATTTTTGAAAAAAAAATACTGATTTGGTAGCTTCTCTTCATGTGAAAATCGATTCAAGATTATAAAGTAATGACATCTGAATTCTGAAATAAAATATTATTTTCTATTTATCAATAAGCTGTCATATTTTCCTTAAATTATGTTGCTGGTATCTTTAATAAGATCATACTTTATTCCTTCTGAGATAGGAATTCCCTTAAATTTTATTTCTTTTACTGTAATTTTAACTGTTTTAGTCTAATTTTAGCTCCTTCAGCATGATTTTCTCAATCCCACCTCCAACACATCCTCTTAAGTCTCTCTTTCACAACAGTGCTACACAATTGCCTGAATAGAAGTAAACATTTAAAGAGTAACCCACATAAGAAAAGCACAAAGAAATAGGCAAGCCAACCAAAAACTTGTATATCTTCTTTTCTCTAGAATGGCCACAAAGAAACTGCTCATTTTTAGGCCAAACCATAACAGATTCATCAGTAATACTGGCATTTTGAAGGCAGGAGTAATCAGAAAAAAGTGTTCAACTTTTAAATAGTTAAAAAACCAAATTCTATGAATTTGACTTCGGTATAGCCTATTATCATGAACTGGGCTGTATGATGTATTGATTTCTAAAATGTAAAAAATAATAAAATCTGTAATCTATCTTCCGCTAAGAGAGTTAAATCAAATTCATACTCTAACAGAGAAATCCTATTCCCCGGGGCAGGTAAACAGCAAAAGCAGACTCACAGTTCACGATGTCACCTTGAAGCTGCAGAATCTGAGGAACTGGCATCGTGAGGACAACAAGATCAAACTGCTCTGGGGAGCCTGTTTCCTTGGAGACTTCCCACTTGTCATTTCTCAGGTTGATTTGGGTCACACAGTGTCTGAAGTAGACTTCTGCACCTGCTCCAAAAGCAAAATCATCTTCACTTTATCAGAATTTTCCATACGAATGAAGGAAAAGTGAATAGTCAAACTGGATCCATTCAAGTGAACAGAATAGTGATGCTATACTTCCACAACCTGCAGCATTCTCTTTCCTTACATTCTTTTAAATACAGTGACAATTCCTCCCCTTTGGCACCCTTAGACCTCCCTAGCCATACCTCCCCTGGAGAATAAAATATTGCTAAAATTAGTATAATTAAAAAGTAACCATAGGCCACCATGGTGGCTCACTGGGCTAATCCTCCGCCTGCGGCGCCGGCACCCCAGGTTCTAGTCCCGGTTGGAGCGCCAGATTCTGTCCCGGTTGCTCCTGTTTAAAATAACTCCATAATATATCTTGAAATCTGATTTTGTGATACTTCCATACTTTTTCATTTTCGTCAAGATCAGTTTGGCTATTCAGGATCTTTTGTGTTTCCATGTAAATTTTAGGATTAATTTTCCTAATTCTGTGAAAAATATGGCTGATATTTTACTGAGGATTGTGTTGTATCTGTAAATCATCTTAGATATTATGGACAATTTAATCATGTTAATTATTTTAATTCACAAATATGGGAAATTTTTCCATTTTGTGTTGTGTGTGTGTACACACACATGCATGCAACTTTTTTATATCCACAGCCAACTAATCTTTGATAAAGCCCCAAAAATACTACCTGGAGAAAGGGCAGTTTCTTCATTAAGTGGTTCTGGGAAAATTGAATTTCTACATGCAGAAGCCTGAAACAAGACTTCTATTCTCACCTTATACAAAAATCAACTCAAAATGGAACAAAGATCTAAATATAGGACCTGCATCTATGAAACTACTAGAATAAAACATGGGGAAAATGCTTCAATACATTGGCACAAGCAATACTTTTATTGACTAAGACCCCAAATCACAAGGCAATAAAAGCAAAAATAAACAAATGGGGTTATATCAAACTAAGAAGTTTATACACAAAAAGAAACAATCAACAGATTGAACAGATAATTGACAGAATGTGAAAAATATTTGTAAACTGTGCACCTTGCATAGGATTAATATTCAAGGAACATCAAAAATTCTACAACAACAAAACAAACAATACAGTTAGAAATAGGCAAAAGATCTAAATAGGCATTTTTTCAAAAGGAGAAATAAAAATGGCCAAAAAGACATGAACAAATGCTCAGTATCATTAGCCATCATAAAAATGCAAATCAAAATCACAGTTAAATAACACCTTACTCCAGTTAGAATATCTGTTCTCAAAAAGACAAAAAATAAATTCTGGTGAGGATGTGAAGAAAAGAGAACACTTATACACTATTGATGACAAGATAAGTTAGTACAGTCATTACAAAGAATGGAATGGCAATTCTTAACTAAAAGGCATTTCTTGATAGCAAAAGGAGTTGGCCCATTACTCTCCAAATATCATGGGGAAGAACAATCAGGGGATCTTTATTCCAGATTACTTAAAGAAATAAGATGGCATTAACCTTTAATAGTCCCCCTTCCTCAGTCCAGGGACTAAATGATGAAAGAGAGGATCTACGGGAATAAGGCATTATGAAGTTGTTCTCTTGAGCCACATGTCCCCTAATTTATAACATTAGGTGGGTTGGTAGCAATCTCATACTATAGGGAAGAAATTTAGAAGGAAAAGGAAGACCCTACCAAAAAAAAAAAAAAAAACACACAAAAGTTAAATCAGAAAATATGAGAACTTCAAACTGCTCTCCATGGGTTAGTTAATAGGCAAAGACAACAGAGTCAGCTCTCTGCTGTGGCCCGGGAGTGCAGTGGAGGATGGCCCAAGTCCTGGGGCCCTGCACCCCATGGGAGACCAGGAGAAGCACCTGGCTCCTGCCTTCCGGTCAGCGCGGTGTGCCGGCCACAGTGGCCATTTGGGGGGTGAACCAACGGCAAAAGGAAGACCTTCCTCTCTGTATCTCTCTCTCACTGTCCACTCTGCCTGTCAAAAAAAATTTAAAAAAAAATATAATCATACCTCCCTCTCCCTCCTCCCTCAATCCCCCTACTTCCTTTCTTGTTTTTTCTTTTACAAAAATTTAATTTTATTCCACTCTATAATCACCAACTTAAAGCACCACTAACCATAATACTTTAACGAGTAAGACAGAGAAAGACAACACTTCCACAGGAGTATAAACTAGGGCTAAAAATAATAAGCAAATCACAAGATGCACATTTCATTCCTATACATTACTTTGTATTCTATATTAACTACTACGTATCAGAGAAAACATAAGATATTTGTCTTTGGAGGACTGGCTTATTTCACCAAGCAAAATTGTTCTCCAGTTGCATCCATTTTGTTGTAAAAGACAGGATTTAACCCTTTTTTTTTTAGCTGGATAGTATTCCAGAGCGCATATATACTGCATTTTTTTAAATATTTATTCATTTTACTTGAAAGTCATGGTTACACACAGAGAGAAGGAAAGAGAGAGAGAGAGAGAGAGAGAGAGAGAGAGAGAGAGAGATCTTCCATCTACTGGTTCACTCCCCAGATGGCCACAACGGCCAGAGCTGTGCCGATCCAAAGCCAGAAGCAAGGAGCTTCCTCCAGGTCTCCCATGCAGGTGCAGGAGCCCAAGGACTTGGGCCATCTTCTACTGCTTTCCCAGGCCACAGCAGAGAGCTACATTGAAGTGGAGCAGCGAGGTCTTAAACCAGCACCCACATGGAATGCCGGCACTACGCCACAGCACAGGCCCCATACACCACATTTTCTTAATCCAGTCATCAGTTGATGGACATCTGGCTTGATTCTATTATCTTAGTTATTGTGAATTGAGCTGCAATAAAATAACTCTTTCATATGCTGATTTCTTTTATTTGGGTAAATTCCCAAGAGTGGGATGGCTGGGTCATATAGTAGATCTATTTTCAGATTTCTAAGGGAACTCCATACTATCTTCTATAATGGTTGTAGTAGTTGATATTCCCACCTATAGTGTATTAGGATACCAATTTCCCCCACATCCTCATCAGCATTTATTGTTTGTTGACTTCTGTATGAGAACCATTCTAAATAGGGTGAGGAAAAAAATCTCATTGTGCTTTTACGTTGCATTTCCCTGATGGCTAGTGATCCAGAGCATTTTCTCATGTGTTTGTTGGCCACTTGTATTTCCTCCTTTGAAAAATATCTGCTCATGCCCTTTACTCATTTTGTAACAAGATTATTTGTTTTGTTGATGTTGAGTTTCTTGAGCTTTTTATAGATCCTGGATGTTAATCCTTTATCAGTTGCATAGTTTGCAAATATTTTTTCCCATTCTGTTGCATGCCTTTTCCTTATGTTGAGTGTTTTCTTTGCAAGCAGAAGCTTCTCAGCTATATTTCTGGAAGTTTTAGCCAGAGTTATTAGGCAAAAAAAAGAAATCCAAAGGATTCAGATTGGAAAGGAAGAAGTCAAATTATCTCTATTTGCAGATGATATGATCCTATATATAGGGGTACCAAAAGATTCTACCAAGAGATTATTGGAATTTATAGGAGAGTTTGGTAAGTTTGCAGTATATAAAATCAACATACAAAAATCAATAGCCTTTGTGTACACAAACAATGCCATGGCTGAGAAAGAAGTTGTGAGATTAGGACCATTCACAATAACTACAAAAAATTTAAATACCTTGGAATAAATTTAGTCAAGGATGTGAAAGATTTTTGCAATGAAAATTACAAAATATTGAAGAAAGAAAAATAAGACACACAAAAAAATTGAAAAATCTTCCATGTTCATGGATTGACAGAATTCATATCACCAAAATTTCCATACTATGCCAAGCAATTTACAGTTCAAATTTGAATGCAATCAAAATATCAAGGACATTCTTCTCAGATCTAGGAAAAACAATGCTAAAATTCATACAGAAAAACAAGAGACTCCAGATAGCTAAAGAAATATTAAATAACAAAAACAAAGCCAGAGGAATCACAATACTAGCTTTCAATACATACTACAGGGCAGTTATAATCAAAACAGCCTGATACTAGCACAAAAATAGACATGTAGACCAATGGAACATAACAGAAACCCCAGAAATTAATCTACCCAACCTCAACCAACTAATCTTTGATTTATATATTATTATAATAACATTTCTCCCTACTATTTTCCTGCATTTTATATATTTCTTACAAGATTTTGTTTATTTATTTGAAAGGCAGAGTTACAGAGGGAGAGGGAGAAGAAGAGAGAGAGATCTTCCATACACTGGGTCACTCTCCAAATGCCTGCAACAACCAGGGCTGGGCCAGGCCAAAGCAAGGAACCAGGAGCTGAATCTGTGGCTCACATGTGGGTACTTGGGCCATCCTCCACTGCTTTCCCATGCCATTAGCAGGGAGCTGGATTGGAAGTGGAGCAGCCAAGATTCAACTGACACCCATATGGGATGCCAGCACTGCCCAGGTTTATCCACTGTGCTACAATGCCAGCCCCTTTACACATTTTCTAACAGGAGTATGATTTTATTTTATTAATATTTTAGTGCTAACATTTTATATACTTATAAGAACTCATTTTCCCAAGAGGCTGCACAAATTAGAAATACAAATTATTTTTACTAAGAATTGGCTAAATTAGAATTGATAGGCACTTATATATCAGTAATCTATATCTTTACAACTACCATAAACAAGATACTGTTAGGTTATGTGAAAGCTAAAAATGATTAAATATGAGTTTATTCAAGAGCTATCAAAGTAAAATTGAAAGATAAGACATAAATATTCTCTAAACACCTAACAAAATGATAAGTGTAAAGCATTCAAAGAATGTTCCTCTACCAGAACATCAGCTCCTTAAGGGCAGGGAGTTGTATCAGAACCTAACACATTGTCTGGTATATAATAAGCACCCAATAAAAATTTAATGAATGAAAACATGTATATATACATAAATGGATATATGGTACAGTTAATAAGTCCTTGAGGATTTCAGCAAGCATGTGTATCTAATTTGGGTCACATTAAAATCAGGATGAAAAGGATATGGTATCATTTTAACAATGACATGGTAGCATTACATGAGCTGATGGTGACATTGCACAAGATATCCAATGCTGTCACTTTCCATGATAACTAGAATTTCTATGTTAACTTGATTATGCCCAGATATTTGACCAAACAATGTCTATGAGGATATTTTTGGATGAAATTAACATTTGAATTGGTAGACTAATTGAGTAATATATTTTAAATCATATCTAGATTACTTATAATATCCATACAATGTAAACACTATGCAGTTACTATAATGCATTATTTAGGAAATAATGACAAGGAAAAAAGTCTATACATGTTCAATACAACAACCATTGTAGGCCTAACTACATACTACAGGAATAAGACATAAGGTAAATAATGTTCAAACAACATGTGCTGGAGCCTCAGGATCTGTGAAAATGCAGCAGGGAGTGCCTACCAATAACTTTATTGCATAAACTAAGCATAGTGCTTGGAATGTGGCAAATTCAAGTGTTGTGTTTTGGAACTTTATGGACTTTTTAAAAATATATATTTCAATCCACAATTGGTAGAATCTATGGATGCAGAACCTGCATATATGGAAGGGTAACTATATGTCCTATTGGTTCTATTTTTATGGAGAACTATAACTACTGTACCATCACACACTGACTCTGAGATGAAGAAATGGTCTAACCCAAGATGTTATTTATTATGTTCTCTTCTTGTATATTCAATATTACTTACTTCTCGCATGCCCAGTGTCAGGAGTGGTTGGGTTCTCAATAAATAATATTCAATGAGGAAGATGAAAACAATATTTATTCTAGAAGTATCTTAAGAAGTAAACAAATAATCAGCATATACTTTTCCTCAGTGATCTTGAATTCAGTACTTAACTGAACTATGACTTGTCAAGAGCCTCATTCTGTTTATAAAAAACAAATCATTTATCATTCTTTTTTAAAGAATGTCCACTTTCAAAATCCTCATAAAACATATAAGGGACAAATAAAATCATAATAGAAAGTGGACAAAGATATAAGTTATTCACAGAAAAATGCAAAGAGCTGATTAACAAAATAAAATAGGCATAAACTCACTCATAACTAATGGAATGCAAGTGAAAACCACAAAAAATACCATTTTAACCCATCACAATGGCAAAATTTAAAGCTTTTCATAATATCCAGATGTGGGACAAGAGGTAATCTCTTTCACAATCAATAAGGTTTTATTTTACAAAGAATATGTAGCACAATCTGGTGAAATTAAAACTATATACCGTTTGACATAGCTGTTCTTTTAGAATTTGACCTTGTAGATATATTTTCAAATGTATATGAAGTTTAGACATTCAGCAGTGTTTGTATTAGCAAAAATATAATTTTCTACTCCCAGACTAATTACTTACCAGAAATCAAAGAATTAAAGAAATGATAGGACATATTTACCATATATCAGACAGCCACTGAAGAAAATGAACCACATCGGGGCTGGTAAAAGCCACCACCTGCAGTGCCGGCATCCCATATGGGCACCAGTTTGAGTCCCAGCTGCTCCACTTCCAATCCAGCTCTATGCTGTGGCCTGGAAAAGCAGTAGAAGATGGCCCAAGTCCTTGGGCCCCTGCACCTGCATGGGAGACCTGGAAGAAGCTTCTAGCTCCTGGCTTCAGATCGGTCCAGCTCCAGCCATTGCAGCCAATTGAGGAAAGAACTAGCAGATGGAAGACCTCTCTTTTTCTCTCTCTCTCTGCCTCTCCTTCTCTCTGTGTAACTCTGACTTTCAAATAAATAAATAAATCTTAAAAAAAAAAAAGAAAATTAACCAGATTGAATTTGCTGATATGAAAGTAGACTCTCAAAATATGAACCAAACAAGGTACAGAATAGGTTACAAAAAATAACTTCTTTTGTGTATGCTTTTTATGTATTTATGTTTCAAATTTTATTTATTTATAAGGGAGGGAGAAAGCTCCCATCTGCAGGCTTACTCCTCATATACCTAAAAAGCCAGACCATGACCAGGCCAAAACCAGGAACCAGGAACTCAATCTGGGTCTCCCCTAAGGATGACAGGGACCCAACTACTTGAATCATCACATACTGCATTAGTACATTAGCACATTATCAGGAAGCTGGAATAGGAACATGTAGTTGGAACTCTAACCCACTCTGGGATGCAGGCATTCCAAGCAACATCTTATTTTTTTATTTATTTTTTTATTTTTATTTATTTATTTTTTTTGACAGGCAGAGTTAGAGAGAGACAGAGAGAAAGGTCTTCCTTCCATTGGTTCACCCCCCAAATGGCGGCTACGGCTGGCACGCTACGCGGATCCGAAGCCAGGAGCCAGGTGCCTCCTCCTGGTCTCCCATGTGGGTGCAGGGCCCAAGCACTTGGGCCATCCTCCACTGCCTTCCCAGGCCAGAGCAGAGAGCTGGACTGGAAGAGCAGTAACTGGGACAGAATCTGGCGCCCTGACCGGGACTAGAACCCGGGGTGCCTGTGCCACAGGTGTAGGATTAGCCTAGTGAGCCGCGGCGCCGGCCAACTAAGCAACATCTTAATTGTTGCACCACACACATGATCCAGTAAATACTTTTTTAAAGAATAAATATAAAAGTAGATTAATAGTAAATAGAGATAGACATGTAGCTCAGTATATAGAAACATTTTTCAGGAAATATACACTGAAAATGGTTCCCTGTGAACTTTGGGCCAAGAATAGCCATTGAGTGGCAAACAAGAACATCTACTTTTTAGAATTTTCTATATATTATTAATATTTATGAATATAAGTTTTGTTTTGTAAAATGCTAATTTTAAAAGAAGCATAGAAAACCTTATTCCCACCTGATTCTTTCAAGTAATGTTTAACAACTGAAGAAATTCCTTGAGGTGCCACAAAGTTACAATCTCCTTCTTTCATCACCATTCCTTCTATATGAGCAGTCAGAGGCTTCAAAATGCCATGATCTAACAGTTCATCATAAAAACTGAAATAAATCAATACATATAGAATATAAGTATATACTGTGATTAGCTCTAAAATATTGTATTCACTTCCAAAAACTCTAAGAAATTATAATTATAAATCAGTTAGAAATCTTCATATGATCAACTTAATGTGGTATTTTGCATTAAACAAGATTGATAACTCAGGTGAAGAACAGAGGTTTGCAAAATTCATAGATCTTTGCTCACATGAGCTTAATAGCCTATTTCTCCACATGTTTCAAAATTAAGATCAATGAAAATAAGCAGAGAAGGATTCAGTGCACCAACTTTAAATTTGGTGAGGAAGATTGACTTTCAACTCAGCTATTTGTCTTCTTCTTCCGTGCTCACATAGTAATTAACATTTATTGAGCCCATACTTTGTTCCATATATCATCCCATCTAACTTTCACACAACTCTATGAGGTAAGTAGTACAGTTTCTTTCTTTACAGACCTTAACCTGGTAGTGTTAATACCATCCACAATAATGATGCCATAGTCAAAGGCAAAGTTTATACTAAAAATGGATGATTTGTATCTCTGTACATCAAACAACTGCTAAGACTTTTTCCACCCCATGATCCTAACTCACCTTTTGTGCTTTCTGGCATAATATGGAGTGCAGGTGATATACTGAGCACCCAAGTCTGCTGTGCATTGTGGATTATGGGGACTGCTGGCTGTAGTCATTCTTCCCCCTTGAATTAATTTATAGGAAAATGTCAGTGCAGTAGAATGAGTGCTTTTTTTCCAATTAATACAATTTTCCCCAATGTACTCCAAATGGACTTTTACAAAGATATTGAGAAATATTCTATTAAGTTGGCAGCTTTGACATCTACATTGTTATGAGTTACTTAACAATTCGGTTACCCAGAGATTAAAGAAACAGGCTATATTTACACATGGTATAATGTTCAAATCAGAGTAAGCACATCTATTCCTCAAATATTTATTTCTTACTGCTGAAAATATTTAAAATCCTTCTGCAATAAACAGTCACCCTACTGGGTACTAGAACATGAGAATCTATTTCTCCTAAGTGTCACTTAGCACCCATAACATTTACCCCTATATCCCTCCCCCAGCCTCTGATAATTATGCTCTACTATTCTCTCAACTTTTTTTTTTTTTTTTTTTTTTTTTGACAGGCAGAGTGGACAGAGAGAGAGACAGAGAGAAAGGTCTTCCTTTTGCCGTTGGTTCACCCTCCAATGGCCCCCGCGGCCAGCATGCTGCGACCCGCGCACTGCGCTGATCCGATGGCAGGAGCCAGGTGCTTTTCCTGGTCTCCCATGGGGTGCAGGGCCCAAGCACTTGGGCCATCCTCCTCTGCACTCCCTGGCCACAGCAGAGAGCTGGCCTGGAAGAGGGGCAACCGGGACAGAATCCGGCACCCTGACCGGGACTAGAACCCGGGTGCCGGCGCTGCAAGGCAGAGGATTAGCCTAGTGAGCCGCGGCACCAGCTTATTCTCCCAACTTCTGAGACCAAATTTTTTAGGTTTCACATATGAATGAGATCAAGCAGTGTTTACCTTTCTGTGTCTGGCTTACATCTCTTAAAACGGCTTCATATGATACCACACAAATATGTAATTTTTATGTACCACCTGGTTACTAGTGCATAGATTTAACTTGAATAGAAGGAAGGAATGGATAACTAAAACCAAAAAAATGAAATACCAGAACGAATCAATGAAGGAAGGATTTTTTCATTCACAGAGCCAAGTCTAATGAGAATGACGGGATTGTGTAAATCAGATATTCCTAAAGTCTTGGTCCATGAGCACTTTGGGAACTAAGCTGCAAACGCACAGATGAGCCAAGAGGAAACCCCATTATTAAGAACAGCTGTAGGCCTGGAGAAAGCCGCAGTATACACAGGCCAAGACGAAAATCCAGGTATTAGGTCAGCGGCAGGCCCAGACTTAGCTAACTGTGGTCAGGCCCCCTACCACACCGCAGGCTGGGGACTCGTGCCAAAGTACTCGCGTCACTCCTGCCCCAAGCCCAGGGCGGCGGGGATCCCCCCGGCCACACCAGCCCAATCCGGCGCCTGGCTGAGGTAGGCGGAAGTCTCCGACCACGTGACGAGGCACGCACTGCGCATGAGCCGCCGCCCCGAGTCGCAGGGAGTTGCGCGTTTGGACTTTTCTCTTAGTAACTGTGGCGCGGCATAATGCCAGCCCAGAAGCCCGGAAGGCCGTCTTCTTTTCCAGGAGTTTGTCCGTCAGGCAACCTACCCGAGTCCCCAGCCTTGTCCCACACAGCGAGGTACAAAGGACTGCTCGTTTCCTTCCGCAGCAGCGCAGCGCACAAGCTTCCTGTCAGCCCCGAGCCCACGATGAGCACCCGTGCCATGGCGGGCAGCGGCCAGGGCGCCGCGGCTCCGGCGGGCGTGAAGGAGCGCTCTCTGCTCTCGGTGCCCTGCCTCTGCCCTGTGCGGTCCCAGCGGCCAGCCTGCAGGGGGCGGAGAGGAGCTGACTGGAGCCGCGAGGCCGGCCTCGCGCGTCATCCGGGAGCTGCCTTAAAGCAGGCTGGGGGTGCCAGATAAGTCCTTTCCCGCACTCCCACCCCGCCCCGCGGTGTCCTCCTGCCCCTTGCCCCTGGCCTCGGGAAGCCTGAATATCGTGGCGGTGACGGCGCGAGAAGCCGCTTTGCCACAGTGCAGGGGTTCACCACAGGGGCGAACAAACCTACCATGACTGCTAGGGTAAGGGCCTGTTGATTGGGGTTTGAACATGGGAAGGAGATAGAACATTCCAGCGATGCCAGGGCATGCTTTCCTTTGAGACCTGAATAGTACTATAAGCAAGACAGGGACAGGTTTTGAAGTCTGGGAGGCTTTTTTTTTTTTTTCCTTCCCCAAACTAGCCCTAAGACTGGTATAAATTATGTAGCCTTCCTGAACCTCAGTTTCACCATCTGTGAAATATGAACAAAAATGTATCCCTTCAATTCACCAGAAAAGTGTAGGTCACTGATCTCTAATAAATTATAAGTTCTGGATCGTTTGTGGCACAAGTAGTTAAGCTGCTGCCTGCGAGTTGGCATCCCACTTGGGAGCACCCGTTGAGTCCTGGCCCCTCTGCTTCCTGCCCAGGTCCTTGCTGATGTGTCCAGGAGGGCAGCAGTGGATGATCCAAATGCCTGGGCCCCTAGAGGCCATGTGGGAGACTCTGAGTGCCAACCTCCTGGCCTTGGCCTGGCCTAGCACCCCAGGCAAAGCCCTTTGGGGAGTGACCCTGCAGGTGGATGATCTTTGTTCCCCCCCCATCCCCCACCCCCTTCCCTCTCTGTGTTCTGCCTTTCAAATGATTCTTTAAAAACTAAATATTAATCACAGCACATTTTGTGTGCCTTAGGGGATATAAAGATGAACAAAAGATTCATGCTGTTATCACTTTTTCCCCTGACTGTCCTGGGAGTTCTCAGTGAAATAGCAAAAATTAATGAGAATTCTGAGTTGTAGCTAATCCCTGGCTGATGGAGTCCAACTTAAAATTTTTCAACTTTGTAAGGAGAGAAGACTCTTAGAAAATAGTTAAGTTACACTCATTTGCAGATAAATTATTATCTGGAAAACGAAAAAATGAATAACTATTTGGCAATGGTACTCATTTGTAATGGGAATATTTAAAAATAGAAGTTTTACTATATGCTCACCATAACAGAAAAAATTACAATGCCTCAAATTGGTGATGGATTAGTATTAGGTATATGTAAGAAAAGATAAAAGAAACAGAAGAAAATATGAATGAACCTATATAGCCTACACAGACATTTCAAAACATAAAAATGAAAAAAAATTTAAAGATGTAAATATTTACAACCTATCTGTTTCAAAATACACAAGACAAAATACAAATAGAGAAGAAATATTGTAATATGTATGAAAGATAAAGTTCAATATCTATATAAAATCTTTTTTTTAATAAGGTTTGTTTATTTAAAAGGCAGAATAACAGAGAAAAGGTGAGACAGTGAAATCTATCACTGTTTCATGCCCTAAATGATCCCAGTAGCCAAGTGTGGGCCAGGTAGAATCAAAGAGCCAGGAACTCCATTCTGGTTTCCCAAATGGTTGCTGGGGCCTAAATACTTGGACCTTCTTCACTGCCTTTCCAGGCACGTTAACCAGAAGCCAAATCAGAAGCTGAGTATACAGGACTTGAAGATAATACTTAAAGCAAGATAGATCGCATGGTAATTCAGTTGATAATTTTATGCAATGGCATTAGAAACATTGATATTTACAATCACTAGAGGACTTACTAGATTATTGCTCTCCATATTTCTATATATAAAGCTACTAGGAAAGTATGATTTTAAATATCTAGAGATTTGTGGGAAACTACTTACTATGTAATTCTGAAAAACACAGACTACAAAACTACAGCATAATCCCCAACTTTCTTCCACACACACATTCACTATTAGAGAAATCTGGGAGGAGACAAATGTACTTGTATTTTCTACAAATTTCACATTTTATAAAGACCCTGCATTTATAACTTTTTTTGTGTTAGGTATAATCAAAGTAATGCTAGTGTGCCAGAAAGAGTAAGTTAATCACTGTCTTCAAGTTGCTTATGGTCTAGCTTGACATATTTCTCTGAAATTCAGAACTTAACTAATGAGATAGCTATAGAATACCTTAAAAATCTTTAAATTGTCTAGAAAGAATGACATTTGAAGTAATCAATTTTACCTGCCCTCTGCCATTACCATTTATATTGTAAAAACAGACAGTAAGCTTAAGTAGCTGCATCTAAGGTTACAAAGCATCTCAAAGGTAAAACTATAATCATTCTTCATGTTCTTTTGAGTCTGTTTTCCTGCTCTTTTTCACTGTTTCCTGTTCTTTCATGTCTGCTGATAGATCATCTTAGGTAACCATAATCATCTGCTACATTGTCTCATTTAAAAATGTATTTGTTTTAAAGGCAGACAGAGTTTCCATCCGCAATTTTAAATGCCCTCAAAAGCCGAGACTGAGCCAGTTAGAAGCCAGGAGTTGGAACTCAATTCAGGTATCCCACGCGAATGGCAGAGACCCAAGCACCTAAACCTCCCACGTTGGACATTGAAAGCTGAATTGTAAGCAGAGCCAGTGCTCAAACCTAGGCACAAGTGTCTTAAGCTGTGTTTTAGCCATTGTGCCAAATACCCTCCCCTGTTTTCTCATCTTTGATATTTATCAGCCTTCAGGTCTTTTTGACGATTTTTCCATTGTTTCTTAAATGCTGTTCCATCATATTGTACTTGATCAAGGTTGTACAAATTACGCTCTGACAATAATGTATTAAAGTGTCTGAGGTTCAGGTTTGTTTTTGGTGTTTTGTTTTGGCAGTCTTGCCAACTGTGGAAATTTAACATTTGGAAAAATAATTTCCAACAACTGTGTATTACTTGCACTCAAGCAACTTTTGGTTCTTACCCAAATTATTATTATAGTTTAAAAATTGATTTTCCTGCTCTAGTCTCTATTCTGCATTCATCTGATTAGTCACTGCCATCCTCAAAACATTCTGTACCTCTTGGTTTCATGGAGAAATAACTTCCAGTGCATTTAATTGGCAGAAAAATTACTCTGTTTTCCCAATTTTTGTTTATATCTTATTTTGTACTCTTCATATATTCTGCACTATAGATAAACTCTTTTATTGTACTTGCTGTTTGCTGAATACATCCTCAAATTTTCCACTCACCTGTGGCAGTAGAAAATCTTTGCTTATGGTGTTCTTGGTGAGTATAAACTAAACTTTTGACTTCCATTTCCTATAGTTGTAAATTTGCATTAATCCTTCATTCTTGTTTCTCTCCTTGTGATCAACAGTACCCATTTTAAACTAGTTATCCTAACTGTTTGCCAGAGTTGTTACAGCCATCAGAGATAGCTTTGGCAGCATTTGATTTTCCATTAATCTCTAACCTTCATAGTAGGTTGCATTTAGTCTAGATCTAGATCTACAACTATAGCATAGCAGGTCCATGATTGGCTTCCAGCTCTTGTGCATCTTTTCTGGGAAGTGGGAATGACTAGAAGACCTAGAGAAAATTAGGATTACAAAATAGCTGTAACAACTCCCATTCCCAATCACCTCCCTTTTGTCTTAATTTTTTTTTTCTATTCCTGAACTTTGCAAGAAGGCTCCTTCTGGTCACTGAAGTTCAGGTTAAGTCACTAAAAGAAGTGTTATCTAACTACTTAACTAAAATAGCTACCCAATGATTCTCTCCCTTTAATTTGTTTTCATCTTACTACTTAATCACTTTTAGAAGTTACCTGGCTTTTTCTTTACCTGTTTATTTGTTATTTATTTATTGTCTTTCTTCTCTTAGAATTTAAGCACCAAAAGGAGTAGGAACATTGTCATATTCAATACAGTGTCCGTGGAAACTAGAATCGGTTAGAATTCTCAGAAACTATGAGGGTTCAGTAGATGCCTGGAAGGTGTACACGACTATTGAAGATAATACTTAAAGCAAGATAGATCGCATGGTAATTCAGTTGGATGATTTTATTATTAAATGTCCTCAACAAGAGAGTACTTTTTTAGTGGCATAAAATAACAATACCAAAACGCCATTCAGCAAATAATACCTAGTAGCATTCTGTGCAACTCTGTCCTTGTTTAACTGTTATTGATAATTTGAATAATCATGGGTAGTATTTTTAGTAGTTGTAGATGCCATAAAATGAAGATGAGTATATTATAAAATCAACATTTTAAATGATTTCAACAGACTATCAATGAAATCATTTTTTTAAAGATTTATTTTATTTATTTGAAAGGCAGAGTTACAGAGGGAGAGTAGGAGAGACAGAGATGTTCCATTGCTGGTTCACTGGGCCAGGCCAAAGCCAGAAACCAGGAGTCCCCTGGGTCTCCCAAAAAAGGTACAGGGACCCAAGGACTTGGGTTATCCTTCTGTGCTTTCCCAGGCACATTATCAAGGAGCTGGATCGGAAGTGGAGCAGTCAGGACTGGAACTGATGCCCATGTGAGATGCAGGCGTTGTAGGCAGCAGCTTAACCTCTTATGCCACAACCCCAGCCCCCAAAAGAAAATCAAATGAGGATATTCAGTCTTACCTACCCTTGGGTCAAGAAAATAATTTTATGTATTCAGGGAGAGCACTGAGAATTTTAATCTGAAAGCTCGTGGTAAGTTAACAGTCAAATAGTAAATATGAACCCAACTTATGACAAGTGACTTAACAATGAACTGAACAAAAGAGGTAATAGTCCAATATCATTGGGACTGATCAGACCATGTAGAGAATAGATTTTAAAAGGATCATATGGTGGGGCCGGCGCTGTTGCACAGTGGATTAACACCCTGGCCTGAAGCACCGGCATCCCACATGGGCACCAGTTCAAGACCCAGCTGCTCCACTTCCAATCCAGCTCTCTACTATGGCCTGGGAAAGCAGTGGAAGTTGGCCCAAGTCCTTGGGCCCCTGCACCTGCGTGGGAGACCCAAAAGAAGCTCCTGGCTCCTGGCTTCAGATCGGCACAGCTCTGGCCATTGCGGCCAATTGG